GAGCAAAGACCACCACCCACTTTAAACACCACATCTCAACTACATCAGCAATCATCACTCTTGGTGTTTTTGTCTGTGTGTTATGACAAACAGGACAAGAACAAGTTTAACTCCGTGTGCAATTATTACACGCAAGCACAATCCTCCCAAATAGAAAACAAGTGGGCACTTTTGGAGACATTAAAAATACACACAGTGATGAAACTGCGAAATTCCTTCATTATTGAGCTGGGATTTACAGAGATGAGAGCACTGTTTGAGCCGTGGATAGAAACCAGTTCAACTATCACAGTGAGGGGGGAAATCATCCTTGTGATGTGGATTATTTTAGTCTACTTATGGCAGTGGCTACTGAAGGCCCTGATAGGAGACGCTAGTGAAGACGGGCTCTACCCCGGCTGTAATCATACACTCTACTTTGATATTGTAGAGCCATTTTAGTTATGAAGGGCAGGACACAGCCAGAGAGAAGAGATAGCTCCGGTTTCCTTTGCAACAGCAGCAGACTTAATCATGGGGGATTCCCCTGTTCCGGTCTCTTCCTCTGTTGACTCTGGAATATATATATATATATATAATGTTTACTAGGCTGTTGAAACTCAGTGCCAGATGCTTTATGTTCTGCTGTGTTTACAAGTGTGGACTCATGGGCAATACTCTCTAAAAGCAGGTCTACATATTATTATTAAAGTAAGCTACTTAACTGCAAGTTACAAAACAGGTTATTATTGTAAATGTAAAGCCAGGTGAAACAGGCAGCTATCTAAGTATAAGTATTGCATTTCCCCCATTTGATCAATGATGTGGCATCAACCTGGTTTTGAGTAATAGGTTCAACAGCTAAAAACACTCACCAAGATACTCCATTAGTTGCTCAACAGTTATAATTTCCATCATAGGCGGCATCTTAACCTGCAGCAGAGAGACATGGACACCCACTGTTCATTAATTCAGTATATAAAACAAAGCACTGCAACACAAATTAACTTCAACCACAGGAAATAAACTATTTACTGTTGGGACCCATGTGCTACAGTTTATAAAACACCTCATAGCCTATGTCAACGTTCAACATGCACCAACATGTTGATATAAAATGATACCTGGTGTTAACATGTCTTGACAGAAATCACTTTTGGGAGTTAGGCACCTGAGGAACCTGCACTGATAGATGTAGTGTTGGATGTGTATGTTAACCATAATCAAATCTGAAAGTTAAATAAAGTCTTACAATAAATGCTCCTTTGTATAGTAAAAATTCCACTGACACAGTTTGCAAAATATGCCAATTTGAAGGTAGTATCAAGATCATAGATCATAGATCTCTGCTCGTCTCAGAACCTTTACCTTCCATGCAAGCAGAAGGACATTCATAATTGCCAGTAATGGACAAGGGCCGTTCTCGTTTTGGGTGATGATCGGCGTATTCTCCTCCCTCCACTTGATCCACTTAATGTGGTATATGGACTGGCCGGCGGCTCGATCCTTTGCGCACGAAGTCTTCGTCCCATCAGCCCCGTGCTCGCCCTGCAGGGCCAGGGCCAGTCCTCTGTCCTCCAGTCCCTCACTGTTCAGGTCGGAGCTCGGGCAGGAGTTGAGGTTGGAGAAGGACTCGAGTGAATCTATGCTTCGGGACTCTCCACCAAGGCTGGGATCGGGGTCACTCCCACTCGGCAATCCCTCCAACAAGGTGTGATCACCGGACAGCCCGGGCTTGACGTGTGCTGTGATTGCTTTGTCCGGACACAGCTGAGTCGGTTTGGCAAGTTTTGTCGGCTCACTTTCTCCACGAGCCAGAACTTTAGCCTGCGCATGTGTGCCGTCCTTAGCGAGAGGTGTGGACGGGCTATCGGTTTTGTTGATGACTAACTTTGAGGCACCACCTTCGCTATCTTCTGCAGCCAGCACCGAGTCATGCCCCATCCCGTTACTGATCTGATCCCCGGACCCAGACGCGCTCGTCTTGGTATCGCTCCTCGTATCTCCCTGGACTGGGAGGACTTCGATCACTTCTGAGACGCCAGACTTCCCAGCACTGGACATGACATTAACGTAGCCGGGCGCACTGACATTTGCAGTGCTGTTATTGCAACTAACGTTACCCAAAGTGCTGAGAGGAGCCTCACTATTCTTGCATTTCTCTGCTGCTCCCTTCCCTCCGCCGACAGCCGTAACATCGCACATCTCTCCCGCGATCGTGGCGCACAAAGAGCTCCCGTCCGTGGCTCGATGCAGCTTTGCATTTTTCTCCATTTCGATTTTACAGACTGTCGACAGATTTTTTTTTAGCTCAATTGCAGCAGGAGCTTCAGTCCCAAAGACGCCATGACAACTCTGCGAGTGACGTCATCAGAGTGAATCGTTTTCAGGCCGAGCAAAAGGGAGGGAGGGGGGCACGCGCAGAGAAACCAGGCAGTGGTGGTGCCTTTGGGTGGGCTCGTATTCTTCAAAGTTTATCACTGATTTAATATCTGTGGCCTGTATAAGATATTTATTTTAACTAACATTATCCCCTCACGTGTGTTTTTAATGTCTGTGATGACTAGGTTACTGTTTACATTTTAGCTGCTATTCATTGACTAGTATTTATAAAAACCGAATTTGTCATATTTTCACCTCAAAACAAAACGTTGTGTATATCTTAGAGATATCCGTGTTTACATTAGACGTTCATTTTAATGACGACTTTTGTTTACAATGTGTGTATACTTTGCCAATCTCTGAATTGATGGGCATTTACCACAGACGCAAAAGTACTACTGTTCAGATTGTTTATTGTCTGACTGTAAGCACAACATCCCCAAAATACAGAATACAAAAAAAGTTATTAAAATGACGGGGTGTGTACATGGATGTATAAATAAAGATACTGATGTAGTTGGCTGTACAACCCATTGAAAAGTATCTACTTTTACGAGTATTCCTGAATGTAGACTGAACGGAACCTCCTGCCGTGGCCTGAATCATCTCGCGTACATGGCACGTGTGCTCGCGCATTTGTGAGACGATAAAAATCTCGCGTTGTCAGCCCTCCGTATTTCTAAAGAGCCGACAATAACAACAATAATCTATAAATGAGTAATAGTCATTGTTACTTTATTGTTTCAATCCTCCGGATAAACGAGACTTTGGATGTATTTATTTATTTAGTGGTGTGCAAAAAAAAAACAATCACCCTGAATTCAATTTGAATACCTGTATCTAATTATACATTATAATTCAGCATACTGTATATCTACCCCTTTCTATTCTCTTAACCACCATGATGTATAGTCTTCAATGTTCCATCTATCCACATGCAGTAACCGCTTACAACCGCTAGATGGCAGCAATTACTCGTCCGAGCAGAAGGGGCGACTCATTGGTCCTCAATGACAGACCTGAGGCTGATCTTACTATCAGACTGCATAAAAACCTTCCTCCATCCCAAACACGACCCTAACCCAGTACCACAGTGTCCGTTCAGAGGAAGTGTTGCTAAGAACAAACGTGCTTTATTTTCTTTTTTAAATATAGGGTAAGGTACGCCACTCTCAAGGTGTATGATCTTGACAAGGATATATCAGATTTTTGTCAAATTATATCAAGTATAATATATAAAGCCTCTTCAGTTGAAATGCCTCAATGAAAAAGAGCCTTTTTTTTGTTATGTTAGCCACCACTGATTGATTTGAGCATTCAACAAATGTGGTTTAATAGTGTTATTTAAAAACTATTTTAGTACATTTGAATGTAGTTTAATTTTGAAATACAGAATTTGCTTCCAAGTATAGGCCAATATTTGTATGCAGGCCTTAAGGGCACCAGTCACAAGCATGGACATAAAACACCTGACCTGCTGTGGGTGCAAAAAGACAGTACAACAGTACCAAGTGCTTGAGAGAAACATAACCACATATTATATCTTAAGATTCCACAATGTCAAAGCACATACCTAAACATAACCATTATTAACTGCAAGCCAGTCATACTACATAATTCTAGTCGTTTTTACTGAGAATCTATTGAGATGGAAACATTATTTAACAACTGCAGTGTCTCAGCTTAGCACATGATGACAACAGAGATATCTTTAAAAGTATGTTCAAAGACTAAATTAGATAAGCGGAAAAGACTTAAAGTAACTTTGTGGCTAACAAAGGAAACCAAACCAGGAAGTCAACACTCAGTGTTTTTGAACACGTTTGTGTTTTTTTCCCCCCCCAGCAGGATGTCATTATGAAGTCACTTTTTTGATTTTTGATTATTTTGGTACCATTGTTTTTGTTATTTAATCATTTACCAGAAGTCCCCATACAGATTTGAACTGTGCATCAGTTGTATTATTGCACTATATGTGTGTTGACTGTGTAGTAATTATGAGCTTTCATACAGAATTACTCTTATTGGTGGAAAAAAAATACCACTGTGCACATGCATTTTTTTTAATTTAGTTGCCATTTCTTGATGATCATTCATTTTCTATTTCCTCATAAGCAGGACTTTTTCCTCCTTAAAGCCTCACCATCAGTATCAAAAATCCTCCAAAAACACTTGGTGAACCCGGAAGTCATGATTTGCGGACGTAAACAACAGACTGATCAATGAAAAAAGTGCATAAACATCAGTTTGGTGCATGTTTTCAGGCTGGGGTCAAACTGAATGATAGTTCAGACGTGATCTGCAGTTGTTTTTAGATTCCCTCGACCTATGACCACAGTTATACACGAACGGGTGTGTCTAGGATATCTTGGCAACACACGCCGGAAGGGAGGAGGGCCTGTCTGTCGGTCTATCCGTCTGACGTCCCGATGTTTGTGATGTGATCTCGCTAACTAGGAAGGGCGACTATACCTTTAAGTGAAAGGAAGCCAAACAAGGAGCAATCAGCGGTGTCGCTGGGTCGCTTTAGCTAGTTTACTGGGCATTCAGGGGGATTTCGATATGATATTTGTTAAACTAATTCTCCTGTTTTGCTGCCTACGAGACATCACAGGTACGTTTTCCATTGATTCACACGGAAAGGAAAGTGTTCAGTGGTCGTCAGTGGTGCTAGCGCTAATCGGATCAGGCACTTGTACTCCGGGCTATGTAACTCGCTAGCTAGCTGGCTAACGTTAATGGCAAACGGCTGTTTGTAACGGCTAACTGCTGTTTACTCGTTATAGAGTGCGTACCCAGGCCAGGTTAACCACCACGTCCGTTACGTTTAACAGTAACATAGGGGGAGAACACTCACAGGAAAGCAGCCTGTTTGTTGACAGTTCCAGTGGGGGGTAAACTAACATCACACTGCTAACGTCTACGAACAGTTCAAATGGCGAGGAAATAATATCACACTCTTAAGTTACTGAAATGTTTACTGGCTTTAGAATCATTTAAAAACAACTAATGCTAGTTTACCATTAAGTTTAGCTGCGCTGGAAAATATATAAAAGTTGCCAGTACGTTAGTCTGAGCTGGTCCCTTGCTTATAATGATTAACGTTACATCTAACAGAAGCAACTCAGTAAACTAGCTAGCTCTATTAATTTCACTATTGACATTTAATGACCAAAACTGAGAGAGTTTAGTTGGTCCACGGGTGTTCAAATTAGGTTAATATAATGTTCTTGTTCTTACCAGGGATGAGTAACACACTGTGGGGTTGGGGTTCTTAAGGCATTCTCGAAGGACTACAGTATCATACTATTTCATCAGTGTCCACAATCATCTCTTCGAGGACTGTTTTTGAGTAGACAAAAGCTTGTTGTAATTACAGTAGTTAGTCAGTAACCTGAGGGTTAGTGTCTCTCAAAACATCAAAAGGAACACATTAAACTTACCTGGTAACTTTGTATTCTAGGAAAATGCTGTTTCTATTGTTGGAGCATTTGTACTTAAACTCCAAATGTTGTGGAATGGAGCACACATTACAAAGAATGTAATTCTTTGACTTATGTTTACAAAAGCCTAAATTTATAGCGTGTATCGGATATGTTTCATGGTGCTTATCTTTTTCTCTGTTCATATACATTAACTTTGTGTGTTTTAAAACCTTTACTATATGATTGAGGCAGAGGGCCACAACATCATTTTTGCATTCTGACTGGTATATTAGCAATTATAGCAAGTTCTTCTGCAGCAGTGCTAGTTGAAGTGTGTAATTTAGGTAAGAAAGCCTTTTCTCCTTTTTGTTTCACCATACATCCTTCCATTCGTTGACCAAACAGAAATCATGGGCCGAGTAGATGAAAACAATGAGAGAAACATTATGCTCAAGGGACAAGGAAAGGTGTGACAAAAGATATCCTGATCCAAACCTAAATTGCTGCAAATAGCTGGCCATTTGCTTCATGCTAGTAAAAAACATACTGCCTTAAAATGTATGAAATATGACAGACATGATGGGAATTCTATGTGTGGTTAAATGTGGATTGTGACATTTTCTGAGGAAGTCAGTGTTTCAGATAAACCAGGTTGTCTCACTTTTGACACAGCTGCTGTTACTTGCTTACAGTGACGGTACGTAGAAGAGAATATTTTCTGGAGTCATAAAGCGTTGGATTTTGTAATGACAAATCTTGTTCAGAGTTGATGCCTGCAGGTTACAAACAACCCTCTTGCTGTTATTTTACCGGTACTTGGTAATACACAAGTTGAGGAGATGAAGATATTTGAGTTGCCCTGAGCTGTGGGGTCTCTGATGTGTCGTGTTAGCCTGCCTGCCATCACCCAGCATGCATGGTAATGTGAGGCTCAGGTCAGTTGTGATGCATGCTGTTAGCACCTCCTCTGTTCCTGTCAGCAGTTTCCTCTCTGTCAAGAATTGCTCTTGAGGCTCTTGAGGCTGAAACAGATTGCACTGAAATCACGATGACATAGCCGTTACAATGGAAGTGGCTGCCAGTTGTTTTCTCAGCTTTTGTTGCTGTCAGCTACTACCTCTTATTGAGGTAATCTATTTAGGCCCAAATGCAATAAGATTGTTCCTTCAAGTCATCATGCAGTGTATTGTTTTCAGAACAGTAATAACAAAAGGTGCCTAAGAAAGAGGGGTGAGTGTCACAGAAATCAATTCAAACGGGATTCGTTTAACAACACTCTAAAGCAATGAAATAGATTGCAACTAAACAGATTATATATAATTTACCACATATAATGTCATCTTGTTAGAAACATTTGCCAAATTAAATGCATTTAACTGTCAAATAATGAAGTATTTTTCAAAATGTATATCTTTCAGTTGTGTTAGAAGATAGATCTGTGGATGAATAATCATTTTATTTCCTATGAATCCAGTTGGTTTGTATCTTTGTTTTTTTTTTATTAAGCCTTTCATTTATTTAAACTTATTTTTCTATTTTTCATTTTTTAAATATATTTGACTTATTCCTCTGTTATTATGCAAAACTGTGATGAATTATATGGTTTCACTGATGATAAAAATAAAGTAAATAAGTTATTAACTATAAGCCTGATGATGATCGTAGATACAATGAAATTGTCATGACCAAAAAACTGTAAATTTAAGGTTGTGTGTCGGCCATGTTAAGTTTAGGGGCAGTGGAGGTAGCTTTTCAAATTGAATGTTGTGTTTCAGTCTGGAATGTTGTTACACCAGTTGAACATTATGGTTGAGAAAGTTTAAGAAACATCGTGGCACCATCACCACCTTCAGTTTCCCTGAGGGTCACTTAGCACATCTGCTTAGCTTGCAAATAATCCTCCTAATAACGTGCATTTAGTTGTTGTCCGTTGTTAGCCTCTGTATTAAAATACGTGCCAATTAACTTGGAATGTTTAAATTCTTTTTTTGTGTTTGTTTTTGTCATTGTAAAAAACTGTTTGGGAGCTGCCGGTCACTGGTATCCTAGTTTTGTCATATTGAGGACTAGATGTTTACATGGAGCACAGAGTAACCCGGTCACTCAGATACCTGAAGAGATGATCATTATCCAGCTTCCTGATTGTCTCCCTCTGTGCAGGTGTGTCTTTGTAATTCGGGTATCTGAAACCAGGATAGGATGGTACATGCGAAAACAAACAGGTTATAACCTGATTATAACCAGGATGCTTATGTGCATGTAAAATGATGCTGTAGTTGCTACACTCCTTTTTATGATATTTTTGTTTCTTTTTTATGTTTTGATGAGCAGCAATCTCCCAGAAATGTCAGACTTACTGCTTAGTTATTATGCAAGCCACCGTCTGTTCATAAATCACCCTTGTGCTGTCACATTATTACATATTAATGGAGTTGTCACGTCCTACTGAGAAGGCAGATCTGGGCAATCTGAGCTGGCGGTGTTTGTTTTTGTACAAAGTCAACATATTTCCTAATTAATTACAGCATTGTTCGCTCACCCCACAACCCCTCTTGTTGGTTTCCAGGCTGGTTGTTGGTTCAGTCTCATTAGCTGTCTTTATTTTCATTGTTGAAAAATGGCAAAAAATGATGGTTGGAATATTTTCGTGCTGCATTCATGGACAAGTTGCTGCTAGCCCGTTACAGCCACTCCCTGCTTGGGGAGGTGTGACTCACACTACATGGAAGCCCTACTGTAATGAACAAAATAGTGTTTAAATACAGGCAGTGTGGCACACCATATCCCTTTTGGCCTGAGGGAGTCTCTTAATAATGTGTATTTTTCTACCATTTTTCTTTCACTACAAAAGCTTGAGCTCAGCTTTCAGTACCAGCATGTTAACCTCTTCTACTCCTTGCGTACGCTGTCGTCCTCGGCCGACTATATTCTCTGTCAGAGGCTGTAGCAGACTTATAGGGCGAGAATGGTATCATATGAAACAAGAAAAACCTAAGGAATCCATTGGTACCAACCATGTCATGCTAGCTTGTTGGAGGCTAAATAAGTTAGGACCCTAAAGTTTGGCAAGGGAATAACTGGCATGGCCATATTCACAGGGGTCCCTGTCAAATACGGCAGTATAAATGTGTTATTTTTGCCTATTCTAAAAGGGTTTTCTGCTTACTGGGGTCCCTAAACAGTCTTGGATTTGCATATTGGAAAGCTGAGACTCTTGTGGATTCAATGAGCTCAATTGTATTCATATATGGTGATATTAGTCACTTTTTGCTTCCATCATAAAGATCTACGCCTAAACAAAACAATGTTTATTCCAGATTGAGAAAAACTTCACACCCAGTGCTGAGTTGCATCTCAAATTCATCTTTAGGCTTTAGATGATACGACACCACTTCTATGAGCATACACTGCTGATCTGCTATCTCCCCATAATGAGGCCTAGTCCCCCCCTTAAAAAAGACAAAAATGGTAAATGTAAATGAAGAGGTTAAATAGAGCCCTTGCTAATTAAGGAGCATTCATGACCCAAAACATGAGACTAATATTTAGTTAGTAGCCTTAGGAATGTAGATTAGCATTTAAATAGCTCGCAGCCAATTCAGTCCCCGTTCTCGCACAATGACATTACAGTCGTACTGAAACAGAACCTCAGTCACCTGATATGCATCATGTGCTCCTCATTTGCACTTTAAACTGACTCTCTTTGTCTTTGTGAAAAGAACAAAGAAATGGTCAGTATGAAAGCTGGCAGGATTACCTCTCTGGGGTCACATCAATAAGCTGAATAAGCCTGTTAAGCACGTCTGGTGACTGACAGCTCCAACGATAGCCGGCCACTATGATACAGATTCATCCCTGTTTTACCAACCCCTTTTCTCATGAAAGACATGGTGACAAGGCACAGGTAAATAATACGATTAATGATGGCTGAATTACATTTAACTGCTTCAGCTTCAGGGTCCTGATATTGAACATGCTGGCTCCCTGTCATGGTTCACAGGGAAACTCAAATAGAACAGATAATCACGTGAGCCTGTGTGCTCAAAAGAGATGTGCAATTGTGGATCTTTTTGCAGACGTTCCCGTGTTGTTGTGGTTGCGTAATTCCAATCCAAGTGCTGATTGCGTGTCTGATGAACAAAATGCGTTAGCGCTGTTTTGTTAGTCCATTAATTATAAACAAGATTCACCAAAAGGATCAAAACAGGAAGTGATTATTTTAAGTTTTTCTTTCATTTGTTTTGTGAAAACAAACGCGTTCCAAGCTCCAATATCTGTCTACTGTGTCAGTCAAATTCCATGTAAGATGGATGAATACTCAGACTAATAACTGAACCAGGAATTACAGTAAAATAATAAAGAAAAAATGTTACTCTTGCAGCAAATGTTTGTTGATGAGCTACTGAACTCTCTTTCAGGTCAGTTTGGGAACCCCTTGGACAAATATATTCGCCATTATGAGGGTTTATCATATGACACAGAAGTTCTGCACAACAGTCACCAGAGAGCCAAGAGGGCGCTCTCTCCTCAAGACAAGACTGTGCACCTGGACTTCCATGCACACGGAAGGTCAGTTAAATTACACACACACACACACTGTCTTCCTCACTTATTCATGCTCCCCTTCTATCTTCAACTTAACCTCATACATATGCTGCGTGAACTTTATTTAGTGTGAGAATTTTGTTGAATGGACTTACAAATATAAAGTGTTTTACTCAAGAACATTTAGAAGAACAATATTAAGTACCTTTCGTTTAATACAAATAATAATAATTTAATGTCTTTTCTTTTTGACATTTATCTCATCATTTTTACCTTGACCTGTGCTGGGCGTGGCTTATTGTGTTTACTTACCGTGCCATCATATTATATATCTTCATTTGCAATAAAAGTTGTAAGGCAATGGAAATGTTTGTTCAGTTCCCCCAGTGCCATTACATGTGACATGTCATGTTATTTATGACGTCAGAAACATTTCGTTGTGCCGTTGACCCTGTGTTAACCTACATATGACTTAAAAAAACAGGAATTTGGTTACACCACTTCCTTATTGAACCATCTGGTCATTGAAAGACAAAATGAATGTCAACATAATACTGAGCAGTTGCATCAAAACTGAAAACCAGATCTTTAAAGTCCCCATTTTGGAGAAAGCACCTGCTGTTTTCTTTAAATTAGACAAAACATGCGTGAGTTTAATTAACCCTGTTTGAGGGATCATCATTGATCTCGTGTTGGTGGCTGATGTACCAGGTATGAAAGATACCCGTCTCTGTGGTGCAGGCTTCTCTCAGGGTCCCTGTGGCCACATTGTGGTTATTTATTTAAATCTGTGAAAGAAACAAGACTAACCACATTATTGCAAGCTGTAGTCAAATTCTGTTTTAAATGACATGTAATTGGAGATGAGCCACTTTCAATGCCAAGTAGTTCCAGTAGAGTGGTGCCGTCCCTGTTTTGGAAGCAGATTATTTTAGGCAATAACACCTTTGAAATGTTCTCAGATTTGTATCAGCTGAGTTCTTGTTACTTGGTATAAAGTGACAGCAAAGGGAGTGTGTGTGTGTGTGTGTGTGTGTGTGTGTGTGTGTGTGTGTGTGTG